CTCGTGGTTCCTCGGGCGGGCTTGTGGCCGGGGCGTCCGATCTACAAAATCATGCTAAGGGAGGTCAGCGTATCGTCGTTCGAACGACGACCTGACAAGCCTGGGAATAAAATACCTCACACTTCTGGTGGAAGAGAGGTTTATCCCTGTGTCTCGGTGAGATTTTTCCTCCCGTCACTTTGGCGGCGAGGTGTAGGAGACTGAGCCTTTAAGAGCGGAGCGTCCCAGCCAGAGAGACGGAGTTAAGGGCGCAGCCCTCAATACCAGAGGCCGGGAGGTGGGGGCAGGGCTGCACGGGTGGCTCGAATAAAATACCTCACACTTCTGGTGGAAGAGAGGTTTATCCCTGTGTCTCGGTGAGATTTTTCCTCCCGTCACTTTGGCGGCGAGGTGTAGGAGACTGAGCCTTTAAGAGCGGAGCGTCCCAGCCAGAGAGACGGAGTTAAGGGCGCAGCCCTCAATACCAGAGGCCGGGAGGTGGGGGCAGGGCTGCACGGGTGGCTCGTGAAACACCTGGGGCCAAGACCCGGTGGCACGGGGAGATGTGAGCAGGAAAACGCGGCAGGTTCCTGAGGCGCGGGGGAAAGGGAGGCAGCACCTGTCGAAAATGGAGCCCACCCCGGCGCTGTGGGCGCTGCTGCGGTGCACGTGTAAGCCCGTGGCCAGCAGGATGCCGTCTTGCACGGACACCGAGCGGTGGGAGAACGAGGCGATGAGCAGCTCATTCCAACCTGCAGGAGCAAGAGACGGGTGCATAGGCCGTGCCAGCGACGGCCCATTGAAACGCCGGGCACCGGCCCTTAACAAAGGGAGGCGGGGGGCAGGCAGAGGGGAGCGGGACACCGGAGCGCCCCCTTCTGGCTGGTGTTGTGCCCACTGTTCCCTAGCTCCTGTTAGTGGCGCTGCCGCCGCCTTGCGTTAGAACCCGTGTCCCTCCCCGACCACGGCGCCGCCTCCTCGGTACCGCCCTGCCGCAGGGACCCCTCACTTTGGGGTCCTCCCTCTCAGGGAACCCCCAACCCCCTCAGTTACCCTACTGCCAGTCGTCGTCTCACCCCTTACTTCGGGGCACACTGCAGTGAGACATGGCCACTCATCATGGGCAAGGGGGTGCGGACCTGCCGCCTTCTTCTGCAGCTCTAGTGCCCCTCAGGCCTCTGTTGGGGGACCTCCGCCTGGGACTACTCAGGCCACAGCTCCCGAACTCACCCTGCCTTTCCCCAGCACCGCTCTGTCCATGGTACTCTGGCTAGCAGGCAGCTAGGTCCTTCTCCCTCCAGGCCTGGAGTGAGTGTGAGCTCAGTCTGGCCAGCCGTCTCTTTTATACCACCCTCCTGGGCTCTGATTGGCTGCTGCAAGGCCTCTCCTGATTGGCCCCTAGCTACAGCCCTCTCCCAGGGCTGTTTTAACCCCTTTTTATGCCTGGAGGGGGGTAACTGCCCCACTACACACACTTAAAGGCCACCAACACCATAAGGTACCGTCACTATGTACAACGCCTGACCACAACGATTTGGGACAAAGACGTTAAGTGGCAGCACTAGGAGAACATTGTGACGTATGGGCAGACACGTCTCCGTAGGCAGAAAACAAGGACTAATGCAGAGAAACAAGAGACCGGGGCGATGCCGGGAGCCAAGAATTTTACCTGCTCGCAGAAGAATCACTTGATCTTCCAGCATGAGGTCTGAGAAGTGGGGGATGCGCTTGGCCCATTCCACTAAGGTGAAAAGCTGTTTGTCTGCGGCGTGGCATATATTGGTGACAGGGTCATTAGTCTGAGGAAGCAAGAGAGCGAGAGAATACACCACTGCGAACTTCAGCTCTGTAAAAATCCATGACAACAGGCGTCTTCCCCACGGCCCACGAACGCTCATGATACCAGCTACATGATTGGTTAGTCTCGACAGCGCTATTACAGACTACAACGAGTCCCCTTCTGAAACTTTGGTCAGGTTAATGTTACTCGAAATCAGCACGGATGCAATCCAGTCTTTTGCCAGCCACATTTCAAATTGTGCATTTAACATTCTGGCTTATTACTAGATGTGGCAACATTCAATCTTTAGTTTTTATCAATCAGACACATCTTCTCAAGGTTTATTTCTAAGCCTATTTTATTATTTTTATGGCTTTTCATTTTCACAGGGGCGCTAATGTGTGGGTTTATAAGCATTTATTCGATTTTTAACTGTTTACATTTTCATGTGTGCAGGTCATAATGAGGCATCAGACAATGCGGGAGGGTTAGACAATAATTATTTAATGACAGTGGACACGGACATAAAAAGTTAAAGCTTTGAATGGTTTAAACACAAATTGTCAACATCACATGTCAAAATATCCCTAGTAAATATCCCTAAATTAGACTCTGAAGTTTTCAAGGAGCTTTCTCTTTGCTTTGACAATCTGAAATTTCAATCTTCATTCATGGAAATGTTTTTCTGTCTGTTTACGGTGAAACTGACATTTATCGACATAGATAAAAATCGAATCCTTCTACACCACTTTATTGTATGTGCTTGTAGGATGCCAGCTCAAATCCAGACAGGGTTGTTTGTTCACTGTCCTTTGTGATAAGACATTGAATCTCAGTCTAGTTCCTACCGTGTAACAATATCTCTGGAGATATTTAAGAGCAGGTTGGATAGACACCTATCAGGGACGATCTAGATGGTACGGGGTCCTGCCATGAGGGCAGGGGACTTGACTCGGTGACCTCTGGAGTCCCCTTCCAGTTCTAGTGTGCTAGGATTCTATGTCACGTCATACCAGCATTGGTGGCCCTGGCCAGTAGCTGAACAAACTCAACGGTCCTGTTCTAGTCTTAAAAATGAGGCAATAAAATCAGAGACCTTCATCCAAATTCCTCCTGCCACAAACACAAATGCCCATTTAAACGGAATGACTGCGCTCAGACCAGCAGGGGGCACCAGCGCACAACAGCCGTCAAAGTTGGCGTTAGTCATTATTAAAGGCCCAGTTGACCTCAAAAAATGGGGGGGAGGGGGGCGGGGGAATTCACCTATGTGCTTTGCAACTTTCTTTCCATGTGATATTTTTACATCGCTGGTTGGCACATGGATTGATCAATCTGTAACAACTTCCTTGGAAAATTTCAGCCAGTTTTTTTAAAATCAAAATGCAAATTTTGAATGAAAACTTCGATCGAGAATCTAATGTTTTGGCCAGCCCTACTACGAGTCTGTCGGCCACTGCAGCTCACCAGCAGCCATTGGAAAGTGACTCTCAGTCCTCTGCTGACAATCCCAGAATTTGTTAGGGATCACGTGGCTTCCGTCTGGAACTGCCACAGACTAGACGCCCGTGTCCCTCCCAGGTGTGGCGCCTTACTGGAAATGCAGCCCCATCAATTGGTTATCAGCTGTCACTTCTAACGACAGGCCAGAGTGCTGCCATCTCAGACTGCAGGTGACTTCACTGCAAGGGACCCGCCGACACAGGCCTAGCGGAAGCAGCCGCTTACCGAATTCTCAGTGCTCACGTCGCTGTAGGATTCCGTCTTTGGCTCAACCGCCAGTTCGGCTTCTAAAATCCTCTCCACGGGCATATCCTCGTTGCTGCTGCACGTGGACTCGGCTTCATTCTCACTGCGCTCTCGGCTCCTCTGTCTCTCCTCTTGCACGGCTGGAACACAGAAAGAGAGTCCTTTGCATCAGGCAGAACTGGGGAATACTGCCCAGCTCTCTAACCCGGGGGATCGGTCCCTCTCCTCCCTGGGAAGGAGAGTGGGTGTAACCTTGCCCACGAGCGAACACCACTCCCGCCCTTCTCTGGTAACGACCCCCAGGGCTGGGAGGACCAGAGGGACGCGGGGGAAAGTCCCAGGGCACTTGAGGCGGAAGGAAGGACGCCGGCGTGATGTGTGACAGGAAAGGCCTACCGCCATCTCGTCACCCGCAAGCCGGTTCCTACAAGCGGAGCAGCCGGAGGGTTGCTCTAACAGCCCTCTGGGAAATGGCTGGGCCGGGAAGAAGTGACTGACACAGTAGACCTTTCAGAGCCGAACTGGGAGCTGTCGCGCCACATCAGAGATGAGGCTGGGCTTTGGGGGCCGAGGAGATGGCGTGTTCTCAGATGACATGGGAAGCTCTACTGAGATACCGCCTGTCTGGCGCTCCACAAGCCAGGGAGGCAAGGAGGGGTCCACACCCTCCTCTGGTAGGTGCGTTTGTCCACCCACCCCGGCATGTGCTCCTGCCTACCTTCTCTCTTCATCCCCATCGCCAGGCACTTCTGATAGCGGCAGTACTGGCAGCGGTTGCGCTGCCGCTTGTCGATTAGACAGTCTTTGTTATCGCGGCACGTGTAGACCAGGTCCTTCCTTATCGTCCTCTTGAAGAACCCCTTGCAGCCTTCGCAGCTGTACACCCCGTAGTGCTTCCCTGAGAACAGGAGGACGAGAAGTCACACACAGACCAATGGCCTGCCTCTCCCCCCTTGTGCAACTGTACAGCGCCTCCTACTGGAATAGCTGTAGGCTGCACGCCAAGACTGAGGGGCCGTGTCAGGGAGGCAGGGGTGGGTGCATAGGGGAGACAGGACTCGGGGCAGACGTGGTCTGAGATACTTCCCGTCAGGACGGAGGCGCGCTGGGGGAAGGATGGGGTTACTTCTCAGGAGCCCGGCACACTGACAAATCGGGCAATCAGGAAATTCCCAGAATCAACCCTGCGGTGTTATGTGAGGTGCTAGCGTGTTCTAGCAAGATTCCTCAGCAAACCTCCGTAGGGTGTGTCCCATGAAAGTGCCGTGTCACCGCCCAGGGAAGGCTTGTGTTGCTAAAGGCTGCTCCAGTCATCGGAATCGTATACCCCTGGGCGGTGGCTGAAGGGTCAGCTGTGGAAGGCATCCAAAGCCCCTCCCCCCACCCAAAGCCACACCCATTCCCCAAGACCATGCCTCCTCACAACCTTCCCTCCTCCAAGCCCCGCCCAACCCCAGCTGAGGGCCAGGGCTACCACACCACACAGCCCCAGTCCCTCATCAGCAGCTGAGTAGTGTAGGAAATTTTGGGAAGGCAATGCCTTCCCTTGTCTACATTACCCACCGCCCATGCATATACCTGATGATCTGTCCCCGCAGATTGCACAGATGTGTTTGGCCAGGGATCCTGGGCTGGTGGAGGCATAATTCATGTTTCCGATCCCTGGGAGGCCTGGCAGAGGCTTAATGTCTTCAGAACTGCTGACAGCGTTCATGATATTGAGCTAGAAACAGAGGAATTTACAAGAGACAAGCCCAATGAATGGTTAAGCTTCATAGCCTAGGTCCACACCTGCACTTGATCGACAAAACTTTTGTCGTTCATGGTTGCTTAAAAAACGCCGCCCATGAATGAGAAAGTCTTGCTGTAGCAAATGAAAGCGTGACCGCTGCTTTGCCGGCAGGAGCGCTCTGCTGTCGACAAGATGAAACCCCCTCGTTGGGGGTGGACGTATTTTGTCGACAAAAGCCAACAAACAGCATTCACAGAAGTTGACTTTTAGTGAAAGGCTCCATCCACGCAGCCCTGTCACTAAAAGCTGCAGAGCGCAGACATACCCCTAGTGCAGTAATGTCCGAAGATCTGAACACGGTGCAAGGAGCTGTACAAATTCATATCAGGACAGATTTTCTGTGAAACCTGGTTGGCATTTTTCCTGCAAAGGTGTTTTCATGACAGAATGGTCTTTTATTTAAAACAGATATATTTTTTAAATCATGAGAGGTTATCCATGTTGTAAATTTTCATGAAAAGTTTTATGATTTTTGATGGGAGTTATTTGGAGGACAATAATTCTATTTTGCGGCACCATACACCAGCCACTGGGCTAGAGAGAAAGACTATCCACTTAAAAATGACCACAATCATCAGAGTGCCCTGGCTACAAAAGACAAACAAACAAACAAACAAACAAACAAACCCAAAAAACCTCTCTTCCAGAGAGAAACTTAGCAGAAACAAACATTTTCATTCATCAGAAACAAGGTTTCTGATACACACATTTTGTGAACCATTTTAATACCATTTTCTTTTACAAAACCAATACATAATATCTGATAAAAAAAAAAGTGTTGTGGATATTTTTTTAAATGGAAACATGGCTCCATTTGGAACAATGCTAAAAAAACCTTGAATTTATTCATGACATTAGTTCTTCAGTTTTTGACCCCACTTTTATTTGTATCCAGAAGACATGGAAGCAAAAATGCATTTACACACACAAACACACACACACATCCCTTTAGGAAGCTAATGAAAAAGGGCTTGATTTTGTCATTGTTGTCCCATCTGCTGAGTTGCGGGGCACCCCGTGTCTTGCAAGTCAGTTTCCAGTGTAGAAGAAATTGGCATAAGTGTAACTTGCTTTATTTACGTATACATACGCACCAGTCCCGGAACAGAGGTAGTCAAAACAGCAAAACTCCCAGAATCTGAGAATCTTTGGCACCATGGTTCCAGCTTGGGCTATTACAGAGCTGAAGGGGCATTTCCAAAATTTAGCCCTAAATTCAAATTCAAATGTGGGTTTGATTTCTGAATGTTCCCTGTTCTGCTTTCTATCTCACTCATGTTTCCCCCAGTTCTTGTGAGATTTGATATCGGAGGCCTGCTTTTATCTCTAGAGTTGCTCATGTTGACTTTTCTTTTAGGGCACGTCTACATTAGGGAACTATTTCGAAATAACTGAAATCAATTTACTAACTCCTGATTTAACAAAATCAAAATAGCGTGTCCTTACTATGGGAAAGCCTCGAAATGAGTCCGAGGCAGGCTCCATTAATGTGGACATGCTACCTCAGACGTAGAGCCCCAGGAAACACTGGGGAGTAATTAGTTCGAATTTCTCTGGGAAGAAGTTATTTTGAAACAGCGACACCAGTGCGTCCACACGACTGTTATTTCGAAATAACTATTTTGACATTAGCATTATTCCTTGAGGAAAGCAGGAGTATAGATTTTGAAATAAGCGGCCCGTTATTTCAAAATAATGGGCGTGATTGTGTGGCTGCTCTACTTATAAATTCGACTTAAGGGGCTTGATTTTGAAATAAAGCCCTAGTGTAGACCAGGGCTAACAGACTTATTAGGGTATAAGCTTTTGTGGCAACCTGATCTCAACACACTTGGAAGAAATCAGAGTAGTAGCGTAGGAACTATATGTAGCCACTAGAGGGCAACTCACACCGATACCCTTGAGCAATCCGACTCTTCCAGGGTTAGTAATGGTGAAAACACACCTTGTGGTGGGACAGAGTCACAGACACGGCACAGGACAGATGGCCACAATGGTAGGAGGATGCATCTCCCCTGCATGTTGCTGAACACCAATAAGACTAATTCGATAATTATTCAATAATAATTCAATAATTCGACCTAAGCAGGGTTATTTCAAAATAAAGCCCTAGTGTAGGGCTTAGAGAAGATGCTTTGAGCTGTCAATTCAGCCAAAAGAGCAAATCACTCTGATTTGGAACAAGAACAGAGGATGGTGTAAGCACGGGAAACTGCAAACCTACAGCTGATTTGATGCCCGATGCAGAGCACAGTTTTACTCCCTGGATTGCTCAGGTATCTGAATCTGATCTGCCCATACACCAGCCGCTGGGCTAGAGAGAGAGACCCTGTTTTCTGTGAATAAACGACCACAACCGCCAGAGCGCCCTGGATGCAAAAAAACCCGGGAACGGGGGTGGGAGACACAAACCCACAGTTGCTTAGCTGTAGGTCATGTTTTGTCTGACTCCTGTTGTTTTGAAACACCGGCAGAAGGCAAGCCCTTTAGACCTTTTCCAGCCTTGCAAACCCACGGCTCTTGGTGCATGACAGCCAGTTTGCATCCTTCAGTGGCTGAATGAACCCAGGGGAAGGCTCCGGTGTGCGTTCGGTCACTTGCGGTGTCCTGGCGTTCTGTCTCTCCTATTTGTGCCTGAATTGGTGGCTACCGCATCGCTGCAGCAATGCATCGGTGGAATGCAGCACTCTGGGCTCGCAGGTCGTCTGCATAAAATGTGTCAAGCCTCCGCAGCCACAAAATCCAAGCCCGGGCGACGGGCAGGCGTGTATGTTCCGAACACCACCCCGCTCCTCGGCAGGGCTAGTGCAGACACACAGGTGTCTCTCGCATCCCGGCGGGGCTTTGCGAAGTGGGATCGGAGCAGTCCACCTGCTCTCTGCAGAGAGCGCTGCCAATTGCGTCTGGATTCAATAAGAAAAGGACACCTTTCCATAGGGGCATTTCCATAGGGGCTCCAGACAAGCGTGCGGACACGAGCGATCATCCGATGTACCAGAGGCCTGGGAATTCCCCTGTTGTATCACTGCACACAGAACAGCCGCACGGATGCTGTAGTGTCGCTGGGAATTAAATCCTGACTCCAAGAACGTCGTCACATTTTGGGAACCGGCAAGGGGTCTGCCACGTACAGCTTTTAAGTGCCGGCTGCTTAGCGACAAAGCGTTTTTTTCCATCTTACGATCAGATGGTCAGAAAGGACATTGGGCTAGATGGACCATTGGTCGGACCCAATATGTTTGTATGAGAGAGGCTGTTCTGAGTGGGTACGTCTAGACTACAGGGTTTTGTCGACAGATCCTGTCGACAGAGCTTCTGTTGACAAAGAGTGTCTAGACTACATTCAGTTCTGTTGACAAAGCAAGCTGCTTTGTCAACATAAGAGCGTAGACGCAAAGGACAGTGTAGATGCAAAAACGCCTTCTTTCGACAGAACTCTGTCAACAAAAGGCATTATTCCTCGTAGAATGAGGTTTACCGCCATCGACAAAACTGCCGAGTTCTGTCGATGTTATGTCGACAGAACTCGGCAGTAGTGTAGACGCAGGTATAGTTTTGTCAATAAAAGTCCATTTTTGTTGACAAAACCCTGTAGTCTAGATACACCCAGTGGTGGCAGACGGCAGAAGGAGGAGCCCTTCTCCCAAGTTGCAGTTGGGGAAAGTCTAGGTTGGAGATTAGGAAAAACGAATTCCCTAGGCAGGTGGGGAAGCGCTGGGCTGGGTTCCCTAGGGAGGGGGTGGAATCTCCATCCCTAGAGGTGTTTAAGTCTCAGCTTGACAAAGCCCTGGCTGGGATGATTGAGTTGAGATTGGTCCTGCTTTGGGCAGGGGGCTGGACTCGCTGACCTCTTGAGGTCTCTTCCAGCCCTACGTTTCCATAATTCTTATGTTCTCAGTCTGACCTCTGGTCTAACAAAGGCCAGGACATTTCCCCCAGCGATATCCACATCCAACCCTTTAACTTCTGGTCGAGCTGGGTTCTCTATTCAGACCTCCAGATCCAGATGTAACATGAGGGAGAATCCACCGCAACCCCAAGCTGTTCCTGTCAGAACCACCCGGCACATTCCCCACCTTCCAGTTTCCAACTTCTGAGGGAAAAATTCTCCTGTTCATCCAGGTTAACCACACGTATTGGTCAGCTAAATAGCTTCCTCCCTTCTAAAGTTACCAAGGGGAGGAAAATAGGACTTGGAAAGGTCTGGCCACATGCTCGGCTATGGCTCCACTCTTGCTGAACTGTGCTTATCTGGCCCGAGGAGACTTCCACCCCCTCGTTAAAACTGCTCCAGGCAGAGGTCGTTAGAGTGCCCTCACTAGGAAAGGATGATGAGAACAAGAGGAGAAGAACAGTCCACAGTGGCAAGACGTGGCAGATGTGTCCATCTGCCCTCAGTCAGCCTCCATTTTTTGCATTTAAAAAAAAGTAATTTTGAAGAAAAATGGGACACTGGCATTTTTTTTTCCTGGAAAAATTTAACTATTTTGCAAAGCAAAAAGGATTTCAAAAGATGAGTATTTTACCCCATAAGGAAACTTTTTTCATTTCAATCCCATTCCTCCCTCAGTAAAACCTAGGTTACAAACAGCTCAAGTATGAAGGTTGTTCGTAACTCTGAACAAGTCTGACCAAAACAAGATGGCGGCTGTTTCAACCGTTTACAATAGAACACGGACTTCATTCAGCTTTGAACCTTGACTATCCAGAGGGAAAACACTGCTTTTAATCATCTTAATTTAAACAAAACCATTTCCTGACCTCGTGAAATTTTTGGTAAACAGTCCCGTTATATTTTTTAGTAGTTCACGTTTAGCAAAGTACTGCATTTGCTTCTCTTGATTGTTTCTGATCATGCCTGATTGCGTTAGACCGGTGCTAAATGAAGCATGCGATCGATGCTCCTCACATTTTTTCGGGTTTGTCAAAAGTTTTCTGGTTTCCCTTGGGAAAAAAAAAAATCAAAAACCATTCTCACCCACCCCCCATTTTTTAAAACTGAAGTTTTTTTTTGGGGGGGGGGTTCATGTTTTCAAAAGAGAAAAAAAGACTGAAAATGCGACATTTCTAGTGAAAATGTCTGTGTTGTGAAAAAGTCATTTTTCACTATAAAAAATAGGCTTCTTACACCTATGGAAAAACAGGGTCAGTTTTGAACCCTGTCCACACACTGCACCACAGACGCACCCCGCCCCTGGCACAATGGGAACTGAAAAACAATCCGGTTTGTGACTGTGGAAGTGGACTGCAACCTTTTGAACACCTTCTCAACCTACGCCTCAAGCAATACCAGCCTGATCGTACTTTTCCATCCACTCCACATCACCTGAGGCAATCAATTAGATCGCTAACCTGGACTTGACGATCTGGCATTGCAGCTTTTGAAGGAGACAAATGGAAAAAAAGTTGCCTGAAATTTTTGGACCACCCCTATTCCCAAGAAACATTCTGCCCAACCGAGAACTAACCCCTGCGAACGGACAGTAATAAACTCCGGTGTGGTGAGCCCTAAACTCATTAAAAAAGTGCAAAGAACAAGAGAAATTCCAGCAGCCGTCCCTCACCGGGCAGCTTCCTCTCACCAGGATACTGAACACAGAGAAATTCTTTATGGTTTTAAATATTAGGTGGAGCCGGGGTTCACGATTTTTTCCTCTCTTTGGCTGCACTCTGAGATCACAACAGCTATGAAGGGAGGGGCAAGTTTTTAGCCATCCGTGTCTTTGGGGCTTTTTTGCATGTTGAGCGCAATGATGTGTGATATTTGGGACAACTGCTTGAACCCAAGTCCATTAGCAGCCTGCCTGCTGAATCCCCAAAGCCCGGCCGTCTCATTCGATTAGAGGCAACACGAGTGAAGTGCGCTCCTCGGAGCTGCTAACTCAACATGACAGCTGAGCTCTGCCGCTCCGATCAGAAAAGCGGCTTCCGGATTTATCCAAGCCTCTGAAGGAAAGGACTCAAACTCCCCCACATCTGGGCCAGCAGCTGGTTCAGAACTCAAGGAGAGACAAAAATTTAGGCCAGGGCGTGCACAAAACTTTTATTTCAAACTACAGCAGAAAGGCAGGAAAGGCAGAATGAAATTAACCAGGATGAGATTCGACTGGGACAATTCAAAGTGCGGGGCAGGAGGAACGACAGGTCTGGAGGGCTCCTATTCCTTCATGCTGGTTTCCCTCATGACAAGGCCATGTCTACACTAGGAAACTATTTCAAAATAACTAAAATCCATGTAATGACTCCTGATTTAACAAAATCCAACTAGCGTGTCCACACTCCAGGGAAGCCTCAAAATTAGTCCAAGGCAGCTCCATTAATGTGAACATGCTATCTCGGATTTAGCACCCTAGGGAGCACTGGCAGTCGTTATTTCGAAATAGTGGTCGCGGAGCGTCCCCGCTAATGCTATTTTGAAATAACTATTTCAAAATGACCGTTATTCCCCGAGAAAAGCAGGAGGACAGATTTCAAAATAAGAGGCCCCTTATTGGTCATGAGGCTGCTCCGTTTATTAATTCGACCCAAGCGGGATTATTTCAAAATCATAGAATCACAGAACTCTAGAACTTGAAGAGACCTTGAATGATCATGAAGTCCCGTCCCCTGCCCTCACGGCAGGACCAAGCACCGTCTAGAGTAAGACCATCCCTGATAGATGTCTGCTCTTAAATATCTCGAGTGACGGAGATTCCACAACCTCCCTGGGCAATTTATTCCAGTGTTTCACCACCCTGACAGTTAGGAACTTTTTCCTAATGTCCAACTAAACCTCCCTGGCTGCAGGCCAAGGAGAACAATTTTTCGCCTTCCTCCTTGTAACACCCTTTTAGATACTTGGAAACCGCTATCATGTCCCCTCTTGGTCTTCTCTTTTCCAAACTAAACAAGTCCAGTTCTTCCAGTCTTCCCTCGTAGCTCATGTTTTCTAGACCTTTCATCATTTTTGTTGCTCTTCTCTGGACCTTTACCAGTTTCTCCATCTCTTTCTTGAAATGTGGTGCCCAGAACTGGACACAATTCTCCAACTGAGGCCTAATCAGCGCAGAGTAGAGCGGAAGAATGACTTTGTGTGTCTTGCACACAACACTCCTGTTAATGCATCCCAGAATCATGTTTGCTTTTTTGTTGTTGTTGTTGTTGTTGTTTTGCAACAATGTCACACTGTTGACTCATATTTAGCTTGTGGAAATAAAGCCCTAGTGTAGACCAGGACCAAGTGTCCACCTCAACCCATCCTGCTGTCTTGCTTTCCATCAGGACCCTGCTGGATCTGCTCGTCCTCACAGACCCCATCTCCACGCCCACCTACAGGAACTCCAAAATAGCTCGCTTGGCCAGAACCAGTCTCTTGCCCCCCATTCCCTGCTGTCCTTTGATACATCTTCTGCCTGGTCCTCCTCATGCCAGCAGACCCCGAGGGCGAGATGCTCCCTGCTCCTGTACAGTAGGCCTGGAACCACCTCTCTGAAAGGCATCATGAGACTTTCATCACCGTCAGGCTCTCAGGGCCTTCATTCCACAGCTCATCTGCAAGGTATAAGGAAGCCTTTGGCAGAAGGAATATGCAGCCTGGCTCATTGGTATTTCCATGCATTGGTCCTCCTGCCATCCTGTCGCTGTCGACAAAGTTGAGGCTGTTTTGAAAAAAGCAACGGTGCCGCAAAAGGGGAAAAAAAAGGACCCGGGATAGAATTGGGAGCATAGCACTCCGCAGGTGGAGAGGGGAAAAGATCACGATTCACATGCTCACATTTCGATTCTCAACATTTTAAATCAAACTAATGCCAGGGGGTTTGGAAACCGGTCGTTTTTCATGGGGGAGGGAGCGTTTTGACATAAAAGATTCCAACTAGCTCCTGTTAGAACCAGCTTGGCCTTGTTTCTCTGTAGTCATGTCTTGTACCACCTCTCCTGGGAGTCCTTTCGAGCACCTGCTTTCTCTCGCACTTACAGACATTTACCTAATACGCCACCCATCCTCTCCTTTTAGTTTCAGGCCATTTGCCTTTATTCTGCCATCATCTGATTTGTTGCACCCTGCTGGAACGACCAGACAAGAGACTTTTCCAATTTTCAAAAAATTTCAAAGGATTTTTTTGTCAATTTTTTTGGAATTGCCACCAGATTGAAAAATGAATTATTCAGTTACATAGTAAAGAACCGATTCTTGCTGTCCATCTTAAAGAGAGTTATTGGGGAACAATCAAAGGGCCTTGAGGTCAGAAACAGATAAACACGCACAACTGAAAACTAAGGCTATGTCTACACAGCAGCGTTGTTTCGGAATAACGTACATTATTCCGAAATAACATAGTGTGCATCTACACTACAAGCCTTTATTTCAAATAATGTCGAGCTGGAGGACTTCTTGGTAACCCTCATTTCATGAGGAGTAAAGGAAGTTGGAGGAAGTTTAGCGTAAAAAGCGCTATAAGTTGAGTTAAGCTATTTCGACTTAAGCTTTGCAATTGCCATTGCTGAAGTTGCATCACTTAATTTTACTCTAGCCCCGCTGTGTAGACGTACTCTAAGTGATCAAATGTGGCCATTCATGCAAGAAATATAATAAGCCTAGGCAAAAGGACAGAGTCCCCACCTGTGGGCTGGTGTGCGCCACGAAATTCATGCTGGGAGCGGAAGCCAGGGAAACGGAATGGGGTCCAATGGAAGAAGCGATGACTCTGTAGGGTGAGCCTAGTGCAGGCGACCCGAGCGTGTTCATTGGAGATGTCCGAGTCCTCGAAGCGTTGGCTGGAGCCTCGATGTAGCTAGGATGACCATTCACTGCATCCCCGGGGGAAAAGCTTGGTGATGAGCCCACCGATGTAGAACTGGCGTGAACGGGAGAATCTAAAAGCACAAAGGAAAAGCCTTAGTACATGGAGGGGAAGAGGGAAACCCAACCAATTTCTTCTCCAAATCAGTCACGCTCCAGGTCACCCTGTCGAGAGTGACTCAGGACAGGCGGCTACAAACCCCAAGTGGGCTGTGAGTGGTACACTTCAGTTTCACCGACCAGGTATCGAGAGTTATAACAGCTGTAAGAATAGAGTCACAGACAGTGCTCTTGGGCATCCACTCCCTTGAAGTCCAGCTTGCATCTTTGTCTTAGATGGTCCCTTCCACCAAAAATCACGATATTCAGGTTACTCCCAGTCCCAAAAGGCCAGTCACTTACCAGATCTCACACCAAAGACATTTGTAGCCAATCCCATCGTAAACTAACTAGAGTTTTTTTAACTGAACCCTGGTCTACATGACAAAACTACTTTGGTATTAGAGGTTGAACCTCTCTAGTCTAGAACAATCTGGCCCAAAAAAACCCTTGGTCCAGCATGATTTGAGTTAGCTGGATGTCCACTTTTCATGGGTGTGGCCAAGTTTCCCACGCTCCCATAAAGTTTGTTAACAGCCACCAGTCCTGGACCTCAGCGTACTGTGCTGTTATTTAGCTCGAATTTACCCTGAATGTCTTCTAACAGCCCGGTAAACAGTGGGAGTGTTGATAATGCTGCTAGACAATATCGACCTCCAGTGGTCCGGAAAATTCATCCAGAACCTGTCACGTCCCGAGGGTACCAGACTAGAGAGTTTCAACCTGTAGTACATTGCTCAGGGATGTGAATAATCCCTCCTTCCCGAGCAACTTAATTACACCGACTTTAGCGTCGGTGTAGACCGTATTGTGTCAACGGGAAAATATCTGCCACCAATTTAGCTCCTGCCTCTCGCAGAGGTGGAATAATTAAGTCAATGGGGGAGCTCTCATCTGAGGGCTTATAGCTTCTTCACCAGACGTACTACAGGGGTGCAGCTGCTCCAATGTGAATTTCTAGTGTGGACCTGCCCTCAGAAAAGAAATTAGAGAGTGATTGACAAGTTAAGGCAGGTAAATCTCTACTCACTGATCAGTTACAGTCTGAAGCAGATGTAATGTGCAAGCTCTCTATGTTCTAACCCAAGCTGCACAGAAGGGGATCGCTTGCTTATGCTTAGAAGTTTTGCCGTCTCCTTAAATGTCCAGGAAGCTTTGCTCCGCAGAGTCCACACAGCATAAAGGCAACAATTTTTGTTTTACCCACTTCCCCCAGAGTGCAAGCTAATGGGACGAGGGAACCTGGTGCTGGCCACTGTCGGCAGACAGGATACTGGGCTAGAAGGACCTTTGGTCTGACCCAGTGCGGCCGTTCTTATGTTCTTATGACTGGCCAAACAGCCACATGCGGCTAGTGGCTAGGGTCTTGGACACCACAGCTTCTACCTATTAGTCAAGACCACTGCTCTTTGCCTTAAAGGCTTCTGTTGCTGTCGTGGTCGTTGGCTGCTTTCGGGCTGTGTCCCTTTCCCTCTGGGAGAATTGATCGCAGAAGCTACAGCGGGGATGGACAAAGACCTTTTCCCCCTCCCTGTGCAGAGTGGAATCTGAAAGGGGCTGCTAACCGCACGATCCAGCCCTCCTTGACGCTGACAAATGCCTTCAATGTTACTCGGCGAGCTGACCTTTTCCCGTCTTTATTGTGCATCTTCCCTCGGAATCAGATTTGATTGGGACTTCAGGTAGAATCACACACGCTGTCATGGAAACAACTTTGCAGCAGGGTTCAAAGACGAGACGCTGCCAAGTCAATGGAAAGCTACAACCACGCGTTAGTCCAGGGGCTCTCAACCTTTCCAGACGACTGTGCCCCTAGCGGGAGTCGGGCTTGTCTTGGGTACCCCAAGTTTCACCTCACGAAACAACTATTTACTTACAAAATCCGACACAAAAATACAAAAGCGTCACACCGCAGGTTGTACCTCCCTGGTCTGGCAGCCTTGGGAGCTGATGGGTCCTGGACCAGGAAATCTGCCGGACCGGGGGAGCTCAGTGCCGGCCAGACCTGCCGAAGGGGGGAGGGGGAATAAAGGGGGCAACTGGCCCAGGGCCCAGTCAATCAAAGGGCACCAGGACTCCCAGTCATCTCTGCTACTACTGCAGCAGCCGGAGTCCTGGGCCCTTTAAATCACCGCCGGAGCCCCGCCCCACCCTGCACGCTCCAGGCGGCTCTGAGGGCTGGCGGGGGAAGGGCAGGCTCTGGGTGGAGCAGACGTCTGGCTGCTCCCTGTGCTGCCCCGTCTGCCTGAGGCTCC